GTCTTCTGCTTTTTCATGTATGCTTTTCTTTCTTCTTCAGATGTCTTTTGGTCACCCAACAAACTTCTGTTCTTCATTCAAAGCTCTATTAATAGAGGCGTTTCTAGCCTCCCTAGCCATATTAGCGTGATTGCTCCTGTCACACTGACAACACATCTCTCTCTTAGCACTTACATCATATTGTACTTACATGTTTAACTTGACCACAAGTTTAGTGTGATTGATATTTACACTGCCTATCATAAAGTAAAAGCTCAGTAATAAATTAATTAATAAAATAAAACATATATGCAATAAATAGAAAGGATACCTGGTGAAATAAGGTGGAAAAAAAAGAAACAAAAGGCATACAGGTTGGAAAGCAAGAAATAAAACATCCTGTATTCACAGACGACATAATTATCTACATTGAAAATTCCAAGACATCTGTACAAAAGCTCCTAGAACAAATAAATAAGTTTAACAAGGTTACAGGATACATAATACACACACACACACACACACACACACACACACACACACAAATTATTTGGTGTTTTTTTCTATTCTACCAGTGAATGAGTTTTAGTTATGTTTTTTATTTTCCATATTTTGTGGTGCCTTGACATCTTAGCGGCTTTGCAGGCTTGGAAGAAACTGCCCCTCCCAGGGCTAGCTAATTCCTAGAGATAGCAAACAACTTGCCTGAGAGCCCACCATTCATATGTAAACCAACCAATCCAGAGTCCATGCCCACAACCACCTCCTTTATCCAACTTACATAGCAAGCCAATTTCCCTTGCCCTAAATCTCCCCAGGGACAAGTACAGGAAAACTAGAGACCACCTCTATAGCCCACAGCCACTGAAATTATTGGAACTATCAAATCCTAGACTTGCTCAAACTGGCCTGCCCTGCCTGGTCATTCCTTCCCACAGGATACAAAATAAAGGCTCTGAGCCATGCTGTCCCGGGCGACTTCTGCCTGCTGACTGACCCAGGAGCTCCCCCTGTGGCCCTGTGCGGTATGCCGTGCCTCCTGTTTCTAGGGATCTGTGAGTATAAACTTCTCCCTTCATGAGAAGCGTTTCCGTGTCTGTATGTAAAACAAATCCCAGGTACACTTTAATACAAAGTGAAATTCAAAATTAAAATCATTACCTTTTACAATAGTACCAAAAAAATGAAACTCTTAGAATCTACATGGAAACTCTTAGAATCTGTGTAGAATTTACGTGCTGAAAACTTCAACTACTGATGAAATAAATCAAAGGAAACCTAAATAAATGCAGAGAAATACTAAATTTGTGGGTTGAAAGATATTCAGAAATTGGAAAATTGTTAAAATGTCAATTCTTCTGATATTCATCTATAAATTTAACACAATTGCAATCAAAATCCTAGTCGGCTTTTTTTTTTTTTTTTTTGTAGATACTGACAAACATTCCAAAATTAATATAAAAAGGCAAAGAAATGAAAATAACCAAAATAATGTTTAAAAAGGAAAGAACTGGAGGGTTCACACTACCTGATTTTAAGGCAGTATATGTCTACAAAATAGTGTAGTATTTGTAAAACAATAGAAAGATCAGAGGCACAAAACAGAGAATATAGAAAGAGACTCCTACAAATATAGCCAAGCGATTATTGAAAAGTTGCAAAAGCAATTCAATCAAGAAAGGATTGTCTTTTCAATAAATGGTGTTAGAAGAATTGGACATCCCATGTGCAAAAACCAATAAGCCAACAAATAAAAAAGTCACCATACATAGCTCCCACCTAAAAAATAATAAGAATTCAAAATGAACCAAATACTTAAGTGTAAAATGTAAAACCTTAAAACTTATAAAGCAAAACACAACTCTTTGTAAACTTGGGTAGTCAAAAGAGTTCTTAGATATACCAAAAACATGATCTCTAAAAGAAAAAGTTGATAAATTAAACTCCACAAACTTCAAAGACATTTACTCTGTGACAGAAACTACTAAGAGAATGAAAAGACAAACCATAGATGGGGAGGAAATATTCAGAAAACTTATCTGACAAAGACATTGTATCTAGAACATTGAAAGAACTCTCAAAAATGAACAATATAAAAGCAAACAAACCATTTAAAAATGAGCAAAAATTTTGAGCACTTTACTACAAATAATAGACGGATGGAAGAGAAGCACAAAAGTAGATGCTCACCATCATTAGTCATTAGGAAAGTCCAAATGACAATCTTGTATTATTGGCTACAATTTGTTCCTGTGCAGAGACTGTGTGAGATAGCTTCAACAGCTCGGTCCTTTTCCTCCCCTCGTTATAGTACATTCACTTCTGACATTATGTTGAAGGCCTGTCCCCAAAGATAAAGCCTTGGATCGATTCAAGTTATCATTTTCTCAGCATTGTAGGGAGCATTTGTGAATGGCGCTCTGTTTGCTAATCTTTATCTGCATGTGGCCTGAGATGAGCAGGTGAACAGGCATGTCAGCCCCTCCCTGGGTCCTCCTGGGCCTCGAGTTACAAAAGGTGGAAGACACAGTTGTATGGGCATTATGATAATACAGGTGTTTGTATGTGCATCTCAAAACCTTCATCACCTTACGCCATTGTATAAGGTTAGTATTAGGAGGGACACATTGGGACTATGACTTAATATTATTGTATTTATAACAGTATTTTGAGTACATTAGAAACTTAATAAACATGACTACTAGGATGGCTTTAAGATTCATGCCATGTCTTTTCCTTTCTCCACCAAATACTCTTCTCTTTAAGGTTAGGGCAACTGACATCTGCAAACTCTAGATTCAAGGTCTTCTGCTTGAAACAAGACCTTAAGGAAATTACGGAACTAACATAGCCTTTTTGCTTTCTTCTGTAAAATAGGATCATGCTACCCAGACTACAGGGGAACTGTTAGGAATGAAAAACAAAACAGGCCAGGCATGGTGGTTCACGTCTATAATCCTAGCACTTTGGGAGGCTGAGGCAGGAGGATTGCTTGAGCTCAGGAGTTCAAGACCAGACTGGGCAACTTGGCAAAAACCCATCTCTACTAAAAATACAAAAAACAAATTAGCCAGGCATGGTGGCACACGCCTGTACTCCCAGGTACTCAGGAGGCTGAGAGGAGAGAGTTGCTTGAGCCTGGGAGGCGGAGGTTGCAGTAAATGGAGATTGCACCACTGTACTCCACCCTGGGCATTGGAGTGAGATCCTGTCACAAGAAAATAAAAATAAAAAAGGACAACACACAGGAGTCTGTATATGTTGCCATTGTCCCTGGCCTGTAGAAGCTGCTCTACAAGGTTTCTTTATCTACTCAGGATGCGAAACTTTGTGTACTGCTACTTTAATATCTTTTGTCTTCCATATTAAAAAAAAAAAAAAAAAAGCAACTCCTGGGGAGAATAAAGCACACCACAAGGATCGCTACATCAATAACCTTCTATGAGAGATGTTGACTTGTCATCTCCATGATGGATAGAACAGAGAGCAAACATCTCTGAGCCAAGTTGATGCTGATTCACTGAAAATAATGAGGTGAACATCCTGGCAATTAGTTGAGGTAAAAAAATTATCCTTTATTGTGGTTTGGTGACATTGTGCTAATTGAGAAACCATGGATGCTGGTTTATATGAGAATTTTTGTTTTCTTTCAAGTCTCTGGTTGGAAACATCACATGGTTGGTTGCTGTTGCTGTTTACTGCCACAGCCTGTTCAAGTCTATTCTCGGAGAGTTTTCTTCATATAGGAGTTGATACTAATCCAAGTGTAAAATCCGGAGAAATGTGTGCACAGCTTTCTGTGTGAATTCTTAGCTGAGGTTTGAAAAGTGGTCTGCTTTGAGCTCATCTGACCAGAAGATCTGACTGCTGCCAGGCAAAGAAAAGGGTCTGTCAGGAAAGGACTGGGCACCCCAAGTGCAATACGGAAAGAGAAGGGCTGTGCCTCCTTGCAGAAAGGGGCACAGCTGGTGAAGCTGCCTTCACATCGTCCAAAGTTTCTAGTTCTGGAAAGTTCCAGTTGTAAGAGTGAAATCAATGCCAAGAGGCAGGTCAGTGGAATGAGGGCCACTGAGAAACTAGCCACAGTGGGTGGAAGGGGAAGGAGATTTGGTTTTGGGAAGTCTCTACTCAGGTCTTCAGTAAGGAGTTCTGAAGTCAGGGTGAAGCCTTTGTTTATTCTAGAGGAGGCGGGGTTTGGAGTCTGGGAAAGAAGATAACTTTTCAAAAAGTGAAAAAAGCTCATGTAAAGGGTGCTGGACAAAATAATGGGAAGGAATAAATCAGCATTGTAGAGAATGTGATTGGATCATAAAATCCCAGGCTATAGAGATTATGTGCTCAAAGCCTCTGCATTTTATGTGAACACACACAAACCAAATGTCGACCAAATGCACAAAAATGTGCATACATGGAGCAGTCAGCCACCAATAGTAACCAGCATTTCACTTCTCTTTGCATCTCAGTTGGCTGTACCTGGAAGGGTCTAGACTTTGCCTCCTTCTAGTTCTAGCATTCTGACACTGTGTGCAGCGAAACAGAAAACCCGGTTTGGGAGTTAGGTTTGCCCAACAATAGATATTCTGGGGTGATTTTCATCCTTTGCATTTGTCATTACGATGTTTGTTTTGTGTGCTTGTGCAAATACAGGATGGTTCCTGAAATGTGTCTCTGAGCGTTCTTAACTGTGTGTAAGGTAAGCCAGGAAAGTGTGTAAGACAGAGGCCAAGAACACCTGTCACAGGGTACCCGCCTAGAGTGTCTGTACCGCATCCTTTCTGCTACACTGTTTGCACACACACAAAAGGGCCGAGGAGCTGGGGCTGGTGTTGAATCTGCCCAGTACGCGTGCTGGGTGTTGGAAGGATGGGGCCGGCGGTAACAAGAATCAATATATATTTACCCCGGGGGCGGGGGTGGGGGTGCGCGGAGGCTGCAGGGCGGGGCAGCGCTAATGAGAGCAAGCCCGGCTTGTGGTTGGTTCTGGAGTCTGGTACCCACAGAGGAGCAGGCAGGGAGGGAGGGGATGCAAGCGGGAGGATAAAGCGATGAAGTGTACTGCGTTACCGCGCATCAGGCGCTGTTGTTGGAGCCGGAACACCGTGCGACTCTGACCGAATCGGCCCCCTTCACGCGCACACACTCGTCGAGCCGCGCGCGCCCCTCCGCCGTGACAGTGGCCGTGGCCGCCGCTCACTCGGGGCACCCAGCAGCCAGAGCGAGGCGAGAGCGGGCTGTCGCCAGGGTCCCCTCCCCAGCCAGTCCCAGGCGCCCGGTGCACTATGCGGGGCACGTGCGCCCCCCAGCTCTAACCTGCGCGCTGACAGGAGCATGATCTGTGCCCAGGCGAGGGCTGCCAAGGTAAGCGGGCGTCGCGCGGGGACACTGCCTGCCGCCCCTTCCCCCCGCCCTTCTCTGGGCGGCTTCCCCGCCGTACGCGAGGCCCCGGCAGCGCCCTCCCTTCCCGGGGACGAGATCCACCCTCCTCCCCACCCTCTCGCTTCTCCCGCGAGGTTCAATTGTCAGCCTGGGACGCGCCGCCGCCCGGGCCGGGCCGGCATCCCCGGGTGGCGACCCCGGCTTGGGTACGGCAGGCGCACCCGGCCCTCCTGCGGGGCACGGAGAGAAACAAAGAAGCCCCCAAGCGGGTTCGCAGCGCCTCGCCCGCCCCTCAGCGCCCTCTCAGAGGCGAGGAGGTGTCAGGGGAGGGGGCGGAGAGACCTACGTAATCCCCCTTCCCAGCCCACACCCACCCCTTGTGAACCAAAGCTCTGGATTTGCGCTTCGCCTTGGGCTCGCTTTTGAACAATTGTGTCCCATGCAATGCCGGTGGTTAGCCCAGCGAGCGCCCAGAGCCTCCGCACGGGCTCGCCGGTGCTCGCTCGAGGGGCGCGTGTCCAGGTCCGGCCCTTGCTCCCATGGATGGTGCAGGAGGGGAGGAGGCGCGGTGTAGGTGCTCCCCCAGCGCCTCCCTGTTCCCCGCGGGCTGCGCCGCTCAGCCGGGCCTGCCACCTGAGTTTTAGCGGGAGCAGCACGTCATGTCGCCTACCGTATTGCGACTTGCATACAGGCAGGGAGGGAGCCGCCGGGGGAAAAAATGCGTCCGGTCCATTTTTGGCTGGAGGTGCGCTTCCTGCTACCCCTACGTTCCCAGGCGGTGACAATGCAGCAAAATCCGAGGGCTCAAACAATGTGGCCCCTCCATCCCCGGCTCCAGGGCATTCTGATTGCTCTGCCGCTCTGACGTCCCGGCCAGTTGGCTGATTTTCAGAGCCATGATGCGCGGTGGCTCTGTCTTGCACACAGAGGCTGGGCACCATAACTTCTTCCCTGCCGAATTTCAGCGCGTGGGGGGAGCTGGCAGGGACACAGGCTGCAGAGATGCCCGGCTTCCTGTGGTTCCGGGCACAGCGCGCCTCAGTCTGCATTGGGCTGACACCAGATAGCATGTGGGGATTTTCCTAGTTGCCGAAGAAGATATTATTTGACGTTGCTGTAGTTTTGTGCTTACTTCTCTTGGAATCTGCAGTGGTGCAATTCTCCCCTTGTTTTTTCCCCCTTCTCTTTGAAAATATATCAATGCTATGTTCAGCAGAAATGGATACAGCAAGAGCAACATAGTTCAAAAATTGAGGGAGGCATCTTCTCTCTTTTCCTGGGATTTAAACGCTATTTAGGAGGGCAGATGCCCTACCCGAAAAGGCCAACCTTTAAAGACCCCGGCAGTGTTGTGGTCCAAGGCGTCTCAAAGCAGGTGGCCAGATCTGCGTTTCTCATCAGCGGACTCGCTCCGGCTGTGGCTATTACGGTAATTCATTCTAGATTGGGGATTCATTTTAAAATGTGTGTTTTCCACTAAGAAGGGATTAGAGTCCACATGCCCACCCTGATATGAATGTGTGTGCCTGTTTGGTAGAGAGATAGATTGTGGTAGAATTCCCTGTTGCCCGTTCCCTCCGCTTGCTGCCTCCTCTGGAATGTGGCTTTGGAAAAACAAAGCACTATTTTAATTCCTAGACCTCCAGGCAAATTGGCCGTTATAGTGTTTTATTTAATAAACCACGTTCTGACTAATTCCACACTATAATCCCAGTCTAGTGCAGTTGGCTGCTTTGTGGAATGACAGTTCTCTTTTTTTGTCTGGGGCAGTTTTTTCCTGAAGGCAAATTGCCTAAGTTTGTTTAGATTGTGACATTATTGACTTGGTAGGGAGGCCACATCCTGAGGTGGAACAGCCCATCAATGCATCAATACAGAGGGACTGCAGCTCTGTTATTTGTGTATTTTGACTTGATTCCTTTTACACTCTGGCTTGTAAAGATGGATGTATTACAAGATCACTTTGAGCTTTACCTTCTATTATGCTTCCATCTGATATGATTGTTAACAAAAGAAATATTAAAAGGCCAGATGTGATATTGAAAAACAAGCCTGAGTCTTATTCCATATGGTAAAGGAAGTTGGACTAGTTGGTTTCTATCGTTCTTTCTAGTTCCAGCATTCTGTGGTAACTGACAAGTTACCACAAGGAGTAAGAAAAGTTACCCAGTGTTGGAAAGGCAAATAATTATAACGTGAACCATGCAAGCAAACCAAGGGTTGATTATAGAATCTGTGGCTTATTTTTATACCTTGCAGCTTTTAAAACCCAAGTGTCTGCATTTTCCCCATAAGTGAAATTACTCACCAACTCAAACAGGTCTTTTTTTTTTTTTTTTGGCCAATATAGCAAAACATTTGGCGGGGGGTGGGGGTTGGGGAAAAGAGAAGAAAATTGAATTAATTGGATAACAGGTTTTCTCCTTTTGTGGAGTTATTCATTCCAACCCCATCTTAGATAATTAGGAATTCGCTTTTTCCAATCATTGGTTTGTGTTTGTTTCTAATGAGAGACTCCATATAGCTGTTTCATCCTATGCAGTAATTGACAATGGCATGAGACTTACTTTCTCTGATGTAATTTGGTGTTGCTCACAAAACTTGCTAGTGCTGTTGCTTGTTATAAAAATGGTGAAGCAATGATTGGTCTAAATAGGCAGGCAGGCAGGCAGGCAGTGTTTTCATGCGCTATGGTAATTTTTATAATTTAGGTATAGTCAAGGTATTTGTTGATTCATGCTTAGCCACACAATTTTCTGTAGTTGTGCACTCATTTGTTTTAAGTTACAATCAAAATAACATCCTGAAATTACATTCCCTGCAAGGCATAATTAACCACTTCTCCTGTTTTCCTATAGCCTTTTTGTTCATAGAGCCAAGATAGCATTTCAATATTGAAGTTATCTGAGTTGTAAACGTGCCACAGTCTCCTTATCTAAATATGGGATGAGCTTCTTCAGAACAAGGATATGTTTATATTCATCTCTCCAGCACCTAGCAGTTTGCCTGGTACATCATGTGTTCTCAGAAATGTTTATTGAGTGGATTTCAGGTCATAAAAATGCCCTCTAATTGTATAGGCAGGAGGTAGGTGGGAATCCTTTACTTTGTGAGTCAGCTGGGGGAATCAGAGAGGTTATGTAAGATGCTTAAGGGGGAACCGAGAGCCAGGACTCAAATCCAGGCCTTCTACCACGCTGCCTCTGAGAGAGGCTCCACCCACCCTCAGTGAACAAAAAAACCTGTAGAGAATGAGTTCCTATGCTGTAGGTTTTGGTTATTTATTTTTTCCTTGAATGATCTGGATTATCCACTTTGACAAAATTTATCTGATAACTGCTCTGTTCTGTCTTGCTCTGGCCTTAGAAAGAAACATGACCCAAGCACTCTGTCCTCTAATCCACACTTAAACAGAAGATGTGAGCACCCTTCTGCCCACTGTCTCTCTAAGTCCTGATTCTATCAACCAGAGCTTGCTAGGATGATGGACACGTCTAGGGAATGTCTACTCATTATTTGCTCAAGCAACATTGAACCACTGTAAATGCTTCTGAAATGACCTACAGTTAGACCAGAGACAACCATCCTTCCTGGGCCAGCCAAGCTTGACTGAGTATCCCAATAGGCAGGTTTCTAGACTAACAGGTGTGACTTATAGACATCAAGACACCTGCGTCTCTCCCATTTACCTGCTTCCTTTTCCATCTGAAAAAACAGGACAAGCTACATTAGGAAACCAGGAAGTTGCAATACCCACAAGTCCTTTCTGTAAAGCAATTGTTGGCACATTTGATGTTCACGGACTTTTAGAGAAAACAGTATGAAATGCTGTGTAGGGTTTTCTTCAAGTCACTTTTCCTCTTTGAGGGTTAGTTTCTTCTTCTTTAAAAGTGGAAAGTTGAATCAAGTAATCCCAAAGGTCACTGCTAACATCATCATTCTGTGATTATTTTTGTTGGTTTATTCAGTTGAGCAAATTGAAGGGAGAAAAATATTAGAAATAATTTAACTTGGCAATATGTAGAGAAGAAATAATTAAGGCTACATGGGTCAGCCTGTGGGTTATCTAATAACTACTTGGAACCTTCTGTTAAAGCTATTCTTTATACATTTCTATAGTAATCCTTTCTTATTTGTAAAACTAAATTTACTATACTGAGGGGAAAGATTTGTGGCATTTCTTTTTCCCAGTGAGCAATGCAGTGGTGGAAAACGTATGCAGTCTCCAAAATGTGCAAAATGTTTAGAATTTGGGAGTTTAATAGCCAAGGTTGCAAGCATTTTTATTCTTACCACTGAGTATGTTTCACAGCTGAAACATAATTCTTATGGTCGAAGTGTTCCCCGCAATTCATCCAACAAATTCCCCTTTCAGTTTCTCTCTGGTTCCTCATTTTGCTCTTTTTTTCCACTTCTCTAGCTCCACCCAACTTCCTATAACATCCCCCACATGCATAAGCCATATGCCAGTAGTACACTGCCACCCCCCAGCCGCCCCACCAAAGGCAGGAGTCAGAGCTTCACAACCTCCTTACTCAGCTCAAGCTTTTCTACTTTCTGAGGTTTATTCATTACCATTGCTTTTCCAAGTTAAGACACAATGAGATATAGAAGCGGATCTAGTCTTTTAACGATTTCGTTTATAGTTTTAGTCTTTTTCTCACAGACTTTCTGACCACCATTTGGAACCTCAATGCCATGCATTTAGGTGTCTTAAAGCCTCTTTAAATATTTTAGGAAGCAAAGCAGCATATTAGTGATTGTATGTATCCCATCCCATAGTGTTTAGATGTGTGGGTATTGGTAAGTAGTTGTACTGTTCTGTGACATGGGCACTGTAAGGAGAATGATAATAATGCCATTACTTACTGGCAACATATGACAAAGATCACTAAGCTCCTAGGTCATCTGGATTCCCACAGCAACAAGTGGTATACACTGTTTGCTTTATTCGTTCAGAACCCACACTTTTTCTGCTTTAT